CTGGCACGGAGAGATCCCCCCAGCGCCGTCAGGACCCCCCAGGGTGCCCCAGCCACAGGGTTGGGGTCAGGATGCTGGGGAAGCTCACCTGCATGTTGGTGAGGATGAGGAGGATGCCACCCACCGAGATCATGGACATGGCCGGGAAGAGCAGCACCGCCAGCTCTGGGGACACAGGGATCAGTGGGGACAAGGGGGGGGGTCCCTGCTGGGTCCCCCCCAGGTCCGGGGCAGCCGGTGCTCATAGGGTCTCACCTGGGGTGGAGAAGGCGACGAGCAGGGTCCCACTGGTGTAGAGGGAGCTGGGATGGGGGGACAGCAGTGACACGTGGGACAGGGCTCAGGGGACACACTCGCACCCGTGGGTGCCCCACCGCCTGGCACACCTGGGGCCAAGGGACGGGGAGCACAGGGAGCCCTGTGGTTATAGGGGTGCCATGGGGACAGCAGGGACACCTGAGGGCATAAGGGGGCTAGGGGGGCATGGGACACGCTGGGGACATCTAGTGGCACTGGGAACAGGTGCCAGGATGGGCTGTGCTGCCCCAGTGCCCCAAAGCCAGCCAGCAACCTGAGCTGGCACGAGTGACCCTCGGACATCATGGGTGCCCTCCAGCTAACACGGGTGCCCACTCCCCCCTCCCATGCAGGCCCCACCCTGCCTGGGCGCCTTGATAACCAGCCACTGTTGATAGCATCCACCACTCCAGCCACCAGCACCCTGACAACCAACCCTTCCCCCCAGGCACCCCCACGGGTGCCCCGTCCCTGCCCGCCCCGTGCCCGCTCACATGGCGATGAGGCGGGCAGCAGTGGTGCCGAAGCGGTCGAAGATGAAGCCCATGGGGAAGGTCATGAAGTTGTTCATGAAAGAGCCAATGGTGAAGACCAGGGAGAACTGCTCATCCTGGAGGCTGCATTCTGCAAGGACACGGGGACACAGGAGCGTGGGGATAGCAGGGACATGGGCACAGGAACAGTGGGGACATGGGGCACCACAGGGCACTAGGACAGCAGGAACATGGGCATGGGGACAGCGTGGACATGGGAACCGTGGTGTCACAGGGCATCAAGGCAGTGGAGACAATGGGGACACAGGCATGGGGAGAGTGGGCATGTGGGCACACGGATGCTGGGGACATGGGGCACCACAGGGCATCATGACAGTGAGGACACAGGGACAGCGGGGACATAGGCATGAGGACAGGGGGGACACAGGCATCACAGGGAATCATGGCAGCAGGGACATCAGAGACCCGAGCATGGGAACAGTGGAGACATGGGCACGGGGACAGCAGGGACACAGGGCACCACAGGGCACCAGACAATGGAGACATGGGGCACCTCAGGCCATTGGCACCACGTGGATGTTGGCCACAGGCACCCCAGGACACAAGCACGTGGGGACACAAGATGCAGCAACGGCGGGGCCAGAGCCACCCCAGGGACAGGGAT